ATTTCTTGACAAAACAGAAAACGAGCAATTTTCTTGGTATTTTCTTGTCTATTATGATTTTAGTATACCATACTTGTATTTAAAAATCATGCAGTTTGCGAAACATTAAAGTTTAAGGATACCTGTGGTGTCTGACGATGTAATAATAGTGTCTGAAAGATCCATACATATATACTAAAATTACCTGCTTCTTCAAATAACTCTTGAGGGGGTGACATCAATATGTTAAATACGTTATATCTAGTCTATTTAATTGCATGCGTGTTAAAAAGATTGTAGAGACATATTATATTTTAAGCTCTCTTGAGTTACATCCCACGTCTGGAGCGGCTATTCTGTCTTGCTTTACTTCCCTCTTTGTTAACTATCTCACAAGTAAATACACAGTAAATAAATTCCCTAATGCTGGAAAATATACAGCAAAAATTAGTGTCACAAAAAATATATTTGTTACTAACCATTATAATATCCATTTGGGAACATATAACCGACAGTTTTAGGGAGTAACAGCAGTTAATAGAACAACCACTCAAACTTCAGTCCTTGGGGTCAAAGAAGACGCTACCCTATCGGATATCTTTCGGCATTCCTCGCGAGATTCCGGTGGTGGAAGCTTTGTCGTCTATTGCTTGTTGACTCTTTGTATGCATCCTGCTGACATCCAGCGTTAAGAGACGCAGTTTAAGTTCAGGCGGAGAGATGTTGCGGAGACCGCAGTCTGCAGCTCGCGGGTCGCGGAATTTACCTAGTATCTCAACATGGTGCTTATGTTTCTTATTATTCGTGTCTTTGGCTGTTGGGTTAGAGGTAAGTATTGTAATGTTTATGTTAGATGTAGTATTCTTTGTTTTCACTGATAATTTCTTCGAAATTGCTTGCTATTCGTATCTAATTGTAGACATTGGAACAGAGGTAGGTATTATAAAATTAAATGGTTTTTCGTTTACGTGTTTCCCCATATTGCTTGCTTTAGTTGAAAATAATGTAATGCTAAATTAATTATAAAAATCACAAATTTTATATTTTTTATAGTTTTAAAAGTGTTTATTCTTAAAGTTTCAGAATCATCGTAGCCAAAGAAGTAGTAAAAAGTTCTAAGTATAACGATGATTAATAATGGAGAATGTTAAAACTTTATGAATGATGTGATATGCAGGCTTTATTGTATTTTGTAGTTTTTGAACTTGTGGCTTAATGCTGTTATAAAATCTAGATTTGTGATAGCATTTGTCCAAACTCTGGGTAAATGTTCGGTTATTTCATTTTACGTCTAGTACAGCATGATTAATGTTAAAAGTGGACGATCTTATGAGCCACAGTTGAAATGTTTTCCATGTTTTATTATGGCTAAATTATTGAACGTATGTAAATTTAGAAAAAGAAAAGCAAGGGCAGAGTGTAAACCTTTTTAGAATAGCTTTAAGTTTAATGAAAGGGGTTTAATTTAATCATAGTGTGCCTGCTTGCAGATGTGAATGCGAGAGTTAAATTTTAAAGAATTGGCGTCCACTTTATACTTGCGTTACCCAAAGAAAATTAAAATGAATATCTCGGAACTAACCTTAATGATAGTTATTCAAACCTCATTAGGAGGCGGTTTCAGTTTACAACAAAAACATTAATCAGTTCATAGTTAAGATACAGGAAAAAATATAAGTTCAAATCAGTTAAAGAATAGATTTTCACTGATAACATATAGTAGAAAATGTACAACGAGGTCGGTGCACAGGAAGTTTGTTGATAAGATAGAGGTGGAATTCAGAGTAGCATTGTACTGTGCTATTAGCAATGTATCAACAGCATGGACAAAAAAACTCGGAAAGAGGTAAATGGATAAATATCAGTTTTTGTTGATAAAACTTGTGTATTTACACATAAGTACAAACTGTACAGGTCACGTGCTCACACTCACCGTAACGTCTCGTCACACTTTGCGTAAATTTCTAATAAATAAACAAAAAAGGGGGAGAGAGTGAAGTCATAATACTTGTTCGGGTTTTCGAACCCAAGTATCTCGTTCTCGAACTCCATGTATGAGAAGAAACATACCCAAGCTGTTGTGTAATGTTACGATAAAATTTCGTCGTTTACCATCTTCCCTGATACGGCGACCTTTAGTTTTGTGGTTTGCAAATTCATCACAGTTGAGTTCAAACACACTAAATTATATTCACAGAGCATTGCATAAATAAGTAATTTTGATATAACACGAATGTATGTACTTTATGAATTTGGAGTATATGTTATAGAATAACTGAATATTACAACTACCAGTAACCTTTTTCGATGACGAGGAACCCACTTTAGACTAATAATGGTTGATGATGACAAAACCTTGTCGAAACGTTGTACATTTGCTGTTATGTTAAACTTATATTAAAGTTTTCTTCATTACCCATTCAAGCCGTCTCCAGCCATTACCAGTAACCTTATCGTATGTAAAATGAATCTTTTTTTTCTTTTAGTGTGCTTAATATCAGGTCAAATTTCAAGATATAATCGCGGCTGAGTAAGGAAACACTTTTTGAAAAATATACATTTAAAAGGTACATCAAACCTCAGGTAGAATAAATAAAATGTAACATAGGCGTTGTCAGGTGTTTTGTTTCTGGGGAGGCGACGTTCCTGAGACATACGTAGGCCAAAGTAAGTCGTGAGTCGGTATTAGTCTGGTACATGGTACGTGCAATTTTCAAGTATATTAAAGAAAATGTTATCAAACTAAAGATATATAAAGTTATTTCGCCACTTTCGCCGGCTATTGTAGCACTAAATTTAATTTACAGTGACCACCAAAATGTATTATTAATGTACAGTATACAGCTGACAGATGGGCCGAGTAAACGTCGTATTGACTTTTTTAAGTTTTATTTAGTGACCGAAACATGAAAAGATCAGGTTGGGTGTGTACAGGAACGTGTGCACTTGTCCCTAACCCGGCGTAATCGTAAGTTGAAGTGTTAGGCCTTGCTCCGCTCTGTGTTGATACAAAGAATTAGTAAAAGCCGATAGGAAATATGTAGAAAAGGTGTGTAGCTGAATAAAATTGTTTGGGGGATAATGTCGTGTTTCATCAAGTTCATTATGGGCTATTTTATCAATAGTTGAAGTTTGGATGCGTTGTTATTTACAGCCGAAATGCGTTTTTAATTTAATTTATTTTAATTTTTACCAAAGTGAAATATGTTTTTAACGAGTTTTTGAACGTCTGAATCTTTATTCTTTATAGAACAAGTGTATGTAATATATGTTGGTAAACTTACTGTAAACTTGTATACTAGTAAATTGTTCGTGTATTTGTTACTCGCATAATAATGGAATATTTCTTCAAGTTTCAGACTTTGTGACTTCGGTTTACTTGCGCTGTCTGTGAACAATTGTATTAATGATGTTAGGGAAACACATAAGTTCAAGAAGTCAATTTAACACACAAATACGATTATCGGCACGACTATATAATACTTCTGATTGTACATCAACACAGCTTCTATTACGTAAGCAAATAAAACGTACTTGCTCTCTGTGAGTGCTCAAGTCGGGTTGCTAAGAGCAAGCAAACCTCGACGTGTAGTGACCCTTGTTGGCGCCAGACCAGGACGTCTCCATTTTGTCCGCTGTCTGCTGAACTCATCATGCTCTTACTTGGACGAGTTGCTATGGCAACATAGCTTCTTTCCTTGGGGAATTGATTCTCGTTAGTTGCTGGTTTATGGTTTTATCTTCATGACACATGTTTCCTAACATTTCATACAAGGAAGTTTTCTTTTTTACTAACCCATTTTTCCACTGAAGTATTTTATCCACCTACACAAGTCTGCGGTCCCTTCTTTTATAACATGTTCGGCAAGTGTCATTTCGTTCAGGTCACTTGGTTGTTTTACTTTAAATGGAAAGATTTTTTTTTTTTTTACAGTTAAAGTGCAAATTTCTATTTCGTGATTGTCCACATAAATACAGTTTGTGTAAATTTTGTAGTCATTATATTAGTGTTGCGTAATGGCAGTTTACTTGGTTTTTAATATTATCATATTTTTTTATCTTACCAAGGAACTTGTGTTGTAGCATATTTAAATACTTTAAATAACATGCCACCACTCTGCGTCTTTAAACTTAAGAGATTCTGTAAGTTTGATAAAAAACAAAGCAGTAACTTTGTACAGTCACAGAATGATACAGCCGATGACTTGTAGTGTTTACCATTTTTTTTTGTTTTTTAAATGATGATGGAATATTAATTATTTACGTGGATTGAACTTGTGTTTAATAAAATAACTTTATTCAATATACCTAAAAAATTGCATGAATACAACCCATTATTACAAGTGTTTTTTTTATGTTCTATATAGGATTATCTGATGATTAATAGTCACTTTGAGGTGAAACTGATAGTTGGAATGTAAAAAAAATATAGCTGAACCAATGTGATGAAAATGATTATATGCGCATCCAGACCGAGTCTATTCGGAATATTGGTACATTTTTCAACATACTTTAACATTAGTACGAAATATTGTTAAACAGAAGTTATTCGACCACTTCAAAAAGACTGATAACTGGAAATATTGTCACTTTTCATTATTTACATTCTTAATTCTCAGAGACTGATAACTGAAAATATTGTCACTTTTCATGATTTACATTGTTATTTCTCAGAGACTGATAACTGAAAATATTGTCACTTTTCATTATTTACATGGTTAAGTAAACTTTTCAGGTGCTGTTAACTTGCTGCCCATCTCACTATACCAGGTTAACCTCTTTCAGGTGCTGTTAATTGACTGCCCATCTCACTATACCAGGTTAATTGAACCTTTCTTAGATCATTTAACATCCAACATCTTTTCATGGAGGAAAATGTTTTTCATCAGGGGTGTAATTATCCTCTGACATTGCATTTAGTTTTTTACAACTGTGTTGACCTACTTTACTGTGGTTTAAAAATATATTACTTCGCTAATATGATAATACTGTCTGATTATAATTTTAGTTATAGGTAAGACGTTGTATTGATCTATAACTATGGGATAAACATGGTTGACCAAAATGTTTAGATGTAATTCGAGTATCATTCATCCCTCTAAGGGAATCAAAGCATCCACACTTGTCAGAGGACGTTTCCCACACCATTACATTATTTCTAACGGATTATACTTTCGGAAATAACACGAGCACAATCAATTGTTTCCTGTGGATATTTTTCATTCTACTGGTTAGGGAAGCCCATAGATGAGTGAAGTCATATAAATGAAGCGAGAAAGGTACGTAATCACAGTAAATAAGTAAATAAAACAATTATTAAC